CTGACTCTCCTGCGCCCCCCCCACCCCGTCCCCACTCAGTGCCTGGGTTCATGGAGCACGCTCAGTCACAGGCCCTGACTCTCCTGCGCTCCCCTGTCCCCACCCTGACTCTCCTGCGCTCCCCTGTCCCCACTCAGTGCCTGGGTTCACGGAGCGCGCTCAGTCACAGGCCCTGGCTCTCGCCACCACTCCCGCTCTTGCTGGTGGCCACTTCATAGCCAACAGTGCTGTGTAATTTCAGTGACCAAAGCCATGTCTGTTGACCCATCTGTACCGAGTAATAGACTTTCATTGTCTTGGGCTTGTATTGTGAGTGATGCCCTCAAGCCCAGGAAAGCATCTGCAGCAATTTGAACAGGGAAGCGTGAGCGGGGATCGGAGTCCTCCGCAGGGGCCCACAGCCTCAGAAACACCCACGTGGAGGCTGCTGGGGCACGCTTGCTCTGCCGGGCTGGTTATTTGCAGCCAAGCATCATCTTCACATCAGGTAAGTGTGGATTTGGATTTAGTTCGTTTGTTTTATTTTTAATCTAATACACGGGATTTGGTTTAGTAGTTACGTAAGAGGAATTGACACCTGATTTTATGTTTATACATATTTAAGTAGCACCAGGCTCAAAATAATCAAAGTCACCACTGGGGAACCAGGAGAATTTTGCTTTCCTTTAAAAGACATCCGTATATTATTCAAGTTTGAGGAATACTGATAGGAATTACATCCGGACCAGGTGCGGTGGCTCCCCTGGCCTGTAATCCCAGCATTTTGGGAGGTTGAGGCAGGAGGATCGCTTGAGCCCAGGAGTTTGAGAACAGCTTGGGCAATGCGAGGAGACCCTGTCTCTACAAAAATAAGAAATAAGTTGGGCGTGGTGCTGTGCACTGTAGTCCCAGCAGCTCCCAGGCTTAGGGGCAAGTTGGGACTTTTGGTCTGTGACACCCTGTTCTCTGAGCGCGACCTCTGGGCTTTTGTTTACAATTTCCAGGGAAGGGGGTGCTTTGTGAGAGGCTACTGAGCTTGAGGTCAGGCTGCCCAGTCCGGCTTCGACGAAGCCGACAGATGTGGAAAGCCTCTGGTTTGCGGATTTTACAAGTAAGGACAGTTTCCTTGTGAGTTTTTTCTTCATTTTAAAATAAAACTATGCAAAATACTCAGGGTACTTTTTTTTTTTTTTAAAGCTAACCTGCAATGTCAAATGAGATTCTCATTTCCAGAAGAGGGAAGCAGGTATTGCCATTGATTTTTCTCATTCTCTGGTCTTATTCTAAAGCCTGGTGGCGGCGGGGTGTCCAGGAGGGTGCAGATTTTGAGTGGGTCCTGCTGGTTCTCAGTTATGTCTCTGTGAACTGCCAGCTTGGTGATGTGGGCACCTTGGGGAGCTACCTGAACAAACTGCACGTTATATGGGTCACATTACTAGCCACTGACCGGAGTCTGGGTGGTCCCTGGTTGCTGGCACCCTGTTGGGTTGGCGTCTGCTGGTGAGTAAGGCAGCGCGGCCTTTGCCGCATGGAGCTTCCCATCTGGAGAGGAAGGCAGCTGAGAATAGGGTCAGTGGACAGCTCACTGCAGAAGTGCCTGGTGTTGGAAGTACTCAGTGGAGCATTGAGTGCTTCCTTCCCGGTTCCTGCCCAGGGCATGATGGCTGTCCTGAGCATCCGAGTTTACCTGCTTTCCAAAGGGCTTTGTGGGACGTGGCCCAGAAGGGACTCTGGTGTCAAATTTGGCCTCAGGAGCTCAGCTGGCCAGGGTGATGCCTGCACCCGTGCCCACGCTTCTCAGGGAGAATGGGCTTGCCTGCCTGTTTCCTGACTCCTCTCCTAGGCGCTTTGATTGGCTTTCCAGTTCTTGCAAAAGCAAGTTTGTGTCGGCCACGCCCTGGGGAGGAGCCACTGGATCACCACTGGATCAGCAGCCTGTTCCCGGTGGCCTCTCCGGCTTCCCTAAAGAGGGCAGGTGGGCATCCTCGTTGCTGGGGGATGCGTGGCGCTGTGGCATCTGTGTCCCTGTCACGTGGTTCCCTGTGACTCAGAACCCTCCGCCAGTGGCCTCCCTTGAGACCAGAAGCCAGAGTTTACTCTGCTTTGTGTCCAGGTGGGATTTTCTACAACGCTGCTGTGCACGACGTGGATGCTATATGCATGTTGCTGGGGGAAGCCACTCTGAACACCATGTTTTCTCTGAGACACGCCTTCTGCTCAGGTGAGACGGTGCTTTACTGTTTTAGGGTGTTCCTGTGGCCACCAAGGATGGTTGAAATTGTAGCACAGGCTGGGGGCCCTGTTCAGGATTCCTGCCCCACCCCCAGCTTTGGGGAGCAGATAAGTAACACGGAACATGTGTAAAAAAAAAAAAGACTAAATGGTCACGTCCCTGAATCCCTCAGGGAGTGCCCAGGGCTGAAAGGCATCATGCAGGAAGTGTTTCCTGTTGAGTGAATTTGAGAGTCACTCTTTTAGTAAGCATTTCTCCAGCCCCTGCTATGTGACAGGCCGCCTGTAGTTTCTGAGGTTGCAAAGGTGAACAAAACACTGTGGCTGGAAGTCACACGTTGCTATGTGCACAGATTAGTGGGTCATCAGTGAGCACCAGGCGAATACCGGGCTGGGGATGCTGGTTCCCAGGTCCTGGCCCCGCAGCAGAAGCCAGGGTGGGTCCTGAGGGCTGCTGAAGACGACAGGTTGTCTGTTGCTTTATGACACACGGCACACACATCACAGCTTGAAACAGCAGCCACCAGGTAGCTAGGATTTTGCAGCCCAACTGGGCTTGGCTGAAGCCCCTCTTGTGGTCTGCCCAGTGGTCACTCATGTGGCTGCAGCCAGCTGGTCAGCGTCCTGCCTGGAACAGCTCCGCCAGGGTCACAGGGCCAGGCCCGCTGTCACCTGTGTCGCCTCCAGGCCTCTCCCTGCCCATGTCTCCCCACGCCTCCTCAGGTCCCCACAGCAGCGTGGCCACACATTTGATGGCCTCAGGGCACCAAAGTGGAAGCACTCAGATGTCCTGAGGCTTGGGCCAGACGGAGGTGTACCTGTTACACCACACTTCATGCTCGGGCTCCTCTCAGTGCCTGCCTCACTCTGTCTCGCCAGCACCCCCATTGACACTGCCTCCCCCATCTGCCCAAAGTTCACCCACCCACCCTGTCCTGCCAGCCACCACCTTGTTCCTGGCCACGTCCTCATTTTGGCTGTGGCCATCTGCTTGCAGTCTCTTCCCTGTAAGACCTCAGTCAGACCGGGTGCCAGCCTGCTCTGAGCTCTCCAGAGCGCAGGTGGAGGCCATGGTCTACACTGACCCTCGGGCCTGTCACCGGGAGAGGGTCATGACTTCAAGTTGTCAGGTTCTTGGCGTTTTGAACAAAGAATTGGACAAAACGCCCAGCAAAGCAAGGACAGAATGAAGCAACAAAAGAACGAAAGCAGGGGTTTATTGAATGGGAATTGACTCCACAGTGCGGGGGTGGCCAAGGGCCGCGGCTCAAGGGCTGGGACACGGACCTTCTTGGGTGCAGACGACCCTACAGGTTTCCCACCGGCCACTTCACAGTGCTGCAGAAAAGCACGCAGTCAGAGGTAGGGTGAAGTGACCAAGTTATACTTCTATGCAAACAGAGACTCCTCCGGGATCGGTCTGATTCGTGTGGACTGTGGCCATTCAGAGGCTGGAGTGAAGTTACCAAGCTGCAAACCTGCAGTCAGTCAGATTTGTCGCAGACAGCCGGGTCCCATCTGCCACGGGGGGCGGAGGGGAAAGTCGCAAAGGGAGTAGCCTCTGGTCCTTTTGTTACTTAGGAGTGGGAAGTTAGGTTTCCCTTCAATTCAGTTCTAGAAAGTCGGTGTGGAACAGCCTTAGTTTCCCTGCCTCCAGACCCTAATCTCCCGCCTCAGGCCCACAGGTGCCGCCCCACCCCCAACCGCACTGTCCCCTTGTCCCCTTCTTGCTCTTCCTCAGAAGGCCAAAGTTCCCATCTGGGCCTGCTCCCTGGGCAGGGACATGGGGACTGGCTCTGCTCAGCTCATGTCTGCACCCCCAGGGCCCAGAAGGTGCTTGAGCCCAGGAGCACCAATGCCACAGAAGCTTAGCAAACGTGGAAGTGGACTCCTCGCTGGGCAGTGCCCCTGCCTCTCCGGCGCCTATTCTGGGACAATTTATTTTTCTATTAAGGGCCAGTTTCTATGTAATTACTTGGCTATGCCTTTCGTCCATTGCTTCAGTGAAGGCAGTGAGCTCAGGCCAGGCACGGCGTTAATCCTAACACTGTAGCCCTAGCACTATGTGAGGCCGAGGTGGGCGGATTACTTGAGGTCAGGAGTTCAAAACCAGCCTGGCCAACATGGTGACACTTCATCTCTACTAACAATACAAAAAAATTAGCCGGGTGTGGTAGTGGATACCTTAATCCCAGCTCGAGAGGCTGAGACAGGAGAATCGCTTGAGCCTGGGAGGCAGAGGTTGCAGTGAGCCGAGATCCGTGTCACTGCACTCCAGCCTGGGCGACAGAGCGAGACTGTCTCAAAAACAAAACCAAACGAAAGAGTTTATAATTTGCCAAAATTAACTTTTGTGTCATCTAAAGCTTTCTTCTGCTTAGATATGGCCTCATTAAAAGATGCAGATGCTGTTGTGATCAGCATGAAGTTTCCCTGCGGGGCTGTGGTCAGTGTGGACGTCAGCCAGCACTGTACGGACAGCTGTGACCAGAGACTGGAGGTGACCTCCCTGCCCTTTTCCACCCCTCACCAGTCCACTGTGAAAAGCCGGGTTGATTCTGCAGGTTAAATAGAGGCCATGACCCGCCACCCTCAGCTGGAGCCTCTGTGGGCACCTATGCATAGTCAGTGCTCAGTAAATATTTGTTTGAATTTTCTGGTGGGATCCTCGTCTTCCAGGTTTGGATGGGAGCTCCTTCTCTGGCTTCTGTGCCTCCGAGAGCTGATTTGTGGCGGTTGCTTTCCTTTACGTTGGCTGTTGTTCCACAGATGCTTCCGTGGCCGTCACACAGAAAGCCGGTGTTGGTCACGGTGTGCCATGGGAAGCGATAAAGCTGGTCCTGGAAAGCCCACGCCATGTGTCACCCACCCACACGCCCCCATCCCCACCACAAAACCCCCTCGTGGTGCTGAGTCATCACTGCGAGGAGGCCCCTGCCCCTCCCCACCTCCCACGCTCAGCCTGGTTAACCCCTGTTTTACCATGGCTCCCAGGTTCGTGGCTCCCAAGGCATGCTGCAGATGGAGAATCAGGATCCCTTGGGCATCAGCGGGTGGGGCACATCCCTGTCCATCTGCTTGCAAAGCCAGGCTAGCTGCTACCAGGACTCGCATTGAGAGCTCTTCAGACACTTTGTCAGAACGCTTAAAGGTGGGTGAAGTTCTCAGGAGGACACTGGGACGTTCTGATGGTCAGAACAGGCGGCAGTGAGTGCAGACCATGTGCCAATTTCAGGTGGAAAACTGCATTCCAGACACCAGGTTCAGATTTGCAATTGTCCATCCCAGTGATCATTTGCGTTACGCATACTTGAGGGAGGTTCTGAGATGCCCCTTCGGGGTTCTGTGCATGTACCCTGTTCCCTGATGTCCTAAGAAGTGTTCTTGACTCAGGTTTATAAAATGACAGTGACTCCTGAACCTCCTGAGCTCTGGTGAATATCCCGTGTCCTGGAAGACGGGACATCTTCTACCCTCTGTCAGTTCTGGGGGTGACTGGGAACAGGGAGGCTGAGCAGAATTCCTGGGCCTGGGTCGGGCTTGTTCAAGAGGGGTGGGTGGGCCTCCCTAGGGCCGGTGTCTCTCCCAGAGGCCAGTGGCCCCTGCCCGTTCCCCAGCAAGAGGAAGACTGGCTCCCATGTGTTGGCTTCTGTCCTGAATCTGTGCGAGTGTGCCTCGTGTGCAGGGAAAGAACCTCCTGAAATCACCAAAGAGCAGTCCCTCAGGGCCTTCCGGGTGGCTGCGGAGCAGTCGTGGTGGAACCGGCCAGCTGTGGACCTGCCCTGCGAATTGGCAGAGGCCTCCGAGATGAAGACAGAAGCCCCGTGGGCTCCAAGGCTGGAGCCCAGACCCTGCTCCTATCCACTTGCCTGTTTCACTTCTCGCTGTTACTGAGAGAGGGAGATGGAACCTTCCAGGGACCTTGTCCTTACTGGAAACTCAGAAGGAGGGGCATTGGGAAACCATGTCTGTTTCATTGCTGGTGCAGCCAGGCTTTTCAAGGTGTGACTTCACACTGAGGGACATGAGTGGGACTTGCTTGCCCGTTTTCTGTGTGTGCAGGCCCGGTAAAAGGATGCTTTTCGGGTCAGGGTTCCCTGGGCGGGGCCTCGGAGTCTCTGGTTGGCGCTCTCAGGAAGAGGGCAGGTCGGGGATTGGACGGGGTCCATGGACCCGGAAACCTGCCGGTTCAGCTTTTCTGTGGCAAACAGGGCCAAGGGCCGGTGAAGCTGTAAAGACTAAATGTTGTGTGCGTGAAGCAGACGGCAGGTCTCCTTAGGCCTTTTCTGGGGTAATCACACCGGTATTTAAAGAAGAGTTTTCTTGAAGAATCTGATTTTTGCCGAGTAATGACACAGCACCATTCCTGAGAAGCAGCAACTACCCACGTGTGGGATGCAAACCCGTCTTCCGTTCCTGGTGCCTGAGTCTGGGTGTGGAATGGATGGTGGCTGATTTCCACGCAAAGGGCCGTGGAGGCCTTTTGGAAACAGGTCTGCTCCTTTCCTGTTTGCAGCCGGGTGGTGGAGACCTTCCTTCGAAAGGCAGTGACTTGTGGAGCAGACCTGCCCCGAGTCCAGCTTAGCCTTCCAAAACGATGCGTGGAGCCTACTGCAGGTGTTTTTATATATTTGAAAATAATGGCCTGTATTTCTCACGCTGTACTTAAAAAAAAATAACTTTTTAAACAAAGGGATTCAATTCAGCCTTGTGTTGAAAGCACTCATTTCTGTGTTCATTCCTGAAAGGGCCTTGTGGAGCCCCCGTTTCTCCTTTCCACGCGGCAGCCTCTTGCCAAGGAAACATCCCAAGTCCCCCCCACCTTCCTGAGTTTGAGGCCTCAGCACATTCGTGATCCAGAGTTCTGTAGCTGGGGTGGTGGGGGGGCACGCTGCCTCCCAGTCACCCTCTCTGGACGTGGGGACAGGCAGGAGCCAGGGAAAGTGGTGAGCAGGTTGTGGTGTGCAGGCGTGCATGCCAGCCAGGAAGGCGGGGCCGGGGCCAGCGCGGTGCCTCACCTGCGCGCCCCTCACCGCTGGGGGACCCGGCACCTCTCCCTCTCCCCTTGGTTCTGTCTTTCTTTCAGGCCAACTTTTAAAAAGACTGAGGCCTCCCTCGAGGTTGAACAGATTTCTAGAGCCTTATTTTTGCCGTGGCAGGTCCCTAGTCCCTTGTTCAAGAAACGAAGAAACCTGAGAACCAAGAGAACTGAAATGAAGCTGTTTGGCTGAAGCCTGGCTTGAGCCCACACGAGGCTCCAGCTGCCTTTTGTTTTCTTTGGTTTTGCTGAGAAATGAAAGTGCGTTCTGTGAAGGTGTTTGCGACACCCTGAGACCCCATGTGGCCTTTCTAAAGTCCAGAAAGCCTGGGCCCCACGGGGCTTGATGAGGGGTCCTGGGCCTGCCGCCTGCGCTTCAGCAGACCTGAGACGCGCGGTCAGTCCCTTGAGCCACCTGGCTTGGCCCGCAGGTCCTCCGAGGCACAGGGCAGAGGGACCCCCAGGGACCCATCAGACTCGCTGACGACAGAGAAGCTCAGGTGGGTCCCAGGACCACTGTGGAGGCCGCAGGCTTCCTGTGTGAGGACCCGCCCTGTGTGTGTCTGAGCCCCTCGGGGATCGAGGTTTAGTCATGAGAGCCGGTCATTGGAACAGACGCTTTATTATGTTACAAAAACAAAAATCCCCACTGAAACACAGCTAAAAAAATAACACGTTTTCCCAAGATTACATTACCAAAAGCAGGGGTTGTGTTACTGGAGGGAGTCCGTTAATACTGCTCGGAGAAGCACCGTCCTACAGGGAAAGCACAGGTAGGGTTTCGTCTTCACCTGAAAGC